TGATTTGGAAAAAATTAAACAGTCGTAGTTAGCACGTGAGTAATAACTGTAATTACTTGTACGAATTTATATAATTTTAGTTAATCTTTGTACAAAACCATTAATAATAAAATTCCTTTCATTTTTAAGACTTTCTTTGATTTTTGACTTTTAAATAACCTCGAATTCATAAAAATATCTCAATAATTTACCTACAAAATATCAATCTGAAAGCACATTGATTCTAGTCCAAGTAATACTTTCTTAAACTATTGTACAAACCGTCCTTCAACTTGCGTGGAACAATTAAAATAACACGCCCTCTGTATGCTAGGTCCTGAATCAAAAATAAAACATTTTTTACAAGATTTTCATATTCCGAATCACAATACTTTCAGTTATTAACGATCCATGCGATTTTTCAATTTATAAGGGTAATAAAAGAATAACGAAATACACAAATTCAATTAGAAGCCAATCTTTTTAAAAAATCGTTATTATTGTAGATAAAATACACAAAATACATAAAACTTCCTACGCGTGTTGTTTAAAATTTGTGAAAACGGAATTAAAGATCGGAGAGCTCAGATATTAATTAATTTTCAATCATTCAAATTTACAAAAATTCAACAAGTAGTCATCCATTTTCAGTTACACGAATTCACAAAAATTCGATTGGAAACCAGTGATGTCACAGGTTCAAATAAATCTTCGTTTATTTCAATTTACAAAAATAAAACAAAAAGCCAGAAACACTGCTGTTTTAAACGAATATTCAATTATTTCGATGAGTAAAGATCAAATTAAAAATCGAAGCCGTCTCGAATAGAAAACAATTTCGAATTTTTCAGTTCGAATCGTTAATAACCAAAGATTTCTATTTCGCGGAAAACACTCGTCCTTTTCGCAAGATAGATTACGTCTTATTTGTGGCTCAGGAGCTTTTTACAAGCACACCTCACGAGATACCCTGTGTATAAGTACGTAATTGCGAATAAACTATCTATTCGCGTGTACGTCGTGGCGGTCGATATCTTTCCAGGGCCAACATACACGCTTCTACGTATTGGAATACATTTAAACTCTGAGAGAAGATTAAGTACGTCTTGAAGAAGGGAAATCCTAGCTATTGTTTCAAGCGTATAACCCAGCACCGTATGTTTCATTACCTACTTAAACAGACTATTATCGCAGCGCCACCACCGACCGAATATTTAACACTTCGGCTAACTTCGTTTACCATCGTATTATTCTCGTTGCCTTCTGCTTCGAAGACTGCGCAGCCTTCGTATACAGAGGTTAGGCTGTTAAAATTGGAATACGCGTTTCTCCTTTAGCAGTACGTAATTGTTTCCTGTCTTCTTTGCTAATACAGACTGATCTTCTACAGTGTGTTCATTTTCACGTCACGTGATAGAATTAATCGTTCACGAAAATTTTTCTCCGTTAAATTAGGAATATAACGTGATAGTAAATTTCGAAGTATATATTTCTCGTAATGGTATTTAGGTTATATCGAGTCTAAGAAGCTACGCATAATTCATTTTAATACCGTTGTGTGGAGTATTAAATATATTTAATATAAATCGAACCAGTAAAGAATAGAAAATTTGTATTAATGCAGTGTCAAATCTGCAACGATGAAGAAAATTTTATTTGGATCTGAATTGGTATGTAATCGTTTACTTTTACGATTTATATTTGCGTAATATCGGTAGGAATAAAAGCGAGTATATAAAGTTTAAAAAATTTAAAGTAAAATAATAAAATAAAATTTTACGGTACAGAAATAAATTTTCTATAGAAATCATTTCTTCGAATTTTTTGTAATTTAAAAATTTTTTATATCGCGATATTTTTACGTGTAAAGAAAAAGTCCTTTACTTCAAAAAATTTCCAGTTGGTGTTAAATTGTTATTAATGCTTATTGCTATTAAATTGTAATTAATTGTTATTAAGTTGTTACACTGTTTTATATATGATAAGCGAACAAAATTGTTATCGTGGTTTTGAGTATTGTATATCCTTAAATTATCGATTGTTTAAATCACTTAGCAGCATACAATGGAACCTCCAATATTTGAATTAATAAAAATATATGATCGTTCAAATAAGAAATTTTTTCGAATAGTTAAACATTCTTTTCATAGTGACTAATTTGAATCTGAATAAAAATAATGATGGTAATAATAGCAAGATGTCGTGTATATGTAATATAAATGTGATATCATTTAATTTACATATTTCCCCTCTTTCATTTTGATACTATAGTCACGCGTCTCTTTTAATTATTTTATTTATTTTAAATTGTTTTGAATTGCATTTGTGCCATAAATCGTTTAAATGCCCTTTAAGTAACGCTACGAATACTTCAAAATGAAAATATTTTAGCGTTATATAGTTCTACGATTTTTATTGCACTTTTACCACTTTTCTTAATTTTAAATTTCAATTTCGCATTACGTTTTCTTCACTTGCCTTTCTTTTATACGATATATTTGTCTTGACGAAATATACTGTTCAAATAGCAGAACGTCCGAAGCGTGAAATATTTGAACAGTAGAATGTTTGGATAATAAGTGTTTAAATAATGGAGGTTCTACTGCGCTTCATTGCATTAGTGTTTACAATTTTCCTTTGCGAAGACTAAAAATTAACACGTATGGTTAGCAGTGATTCACGATATCAGTCGGAAGCGAGACTTTCATTAGGTAAACGAACATATTGTTTGGTTAAATATTAATTATTTGCACTACAAATGTGCCTGTCAGGTGCAGGCGATATCTGACGTTTTGTTTCGACTATGCCTGTGGATATACCGAATTATAAAACCAGACATTACTAATAATTTGAAAATATGATACTCGAGAATAAAATTGCTCGCGCAACCGTCACGTTCTTAGAAACTACGTTCATTTTAAAGTGCATGGTTGCTTTGTATGAGAGTGGAAGAATTGTTTGGTAATTAATTTTTTTCCTAATTAAAATACGAGTTTGTTTAAATGGAATAGTATAATTAATTTGATATTATTATTAGGAAATTTCATGTTTATAATTGGTTCTGAGCAAAGTAAAAATAATTTTTAGGCTTATCATTTATGTAGCATTTCCATGTGTTTAAATTCTACGTTCAACTTTCTTAGACAATAAAAGATAAAATTGGAAATTATTCAAAATAATCGTATTTTTAATCGATAGAATTATAATTTAATATTAGAAGCTTCTTAATTTAATTTTAAAACTATGGAATTTTTAGAATTTTTGACACCGAATGAGTTGAAATAAATCTATGGTTATTATAATTTTATTTTGTTAAACTTTAAAAATTGAATAACATTTAATAGTTTCTAATATTTCTGTAAAAAACATTATAGAATTGAAGGTTTCTATTAGTTTATTTATGAAAATAAAACGAAAGAAACAGAAAGTTTAGATATTATATTATTTTTATATAAAAAGTCAAGAAAAAGAAAGTTTAAGTACATAAAAATTTGAAGTATATCAATCTGTAATATGTTGTATTTCATATTTGCAGGACGCGAGCCAAATTTAATACGAATATCTTACAAAGTAGCGAAAGTGTTAAATATTGAACCAGAGGTCAGGTGGCTTTCAATGATCGTAGAGATCCTAGAAATACGCCAGTCGGCCATTGATCGTTAGAAAAGCGAATTTGTTGCATGGTTAATTGTAAACTTATCTGTTTAACTTGTTTCGAGTTAATTCCTACGTTATGATTTAATTCGACCGTTTTGCCAGATTCTACAGTTCCACTCGTTTCACAATTGTAATCACGATTATTCTTCACCTCTTCAACTTTTCTCTGTTTTCCATTTGCATAGTTCGAGTGGTAAGTGGAGAGAATGGCTAATCGTTTTTCCAACGTGTTGACTGCTCGGTTTCAAGATCAATCTACCTTAATGCGTAATCTTTAAAACATTTGATCTTTAGTAATAAATTGGAATATTTGAAGTACAAAATATTTACGAATATTTAATCATTAAAAATATAAATTTGTTGTAGCTTCTGTACTATACTGTATATCCTGTTCAACCTACTAAACAGGAATACCTGGCTGGAAATATTTTCGAATTTAAAAAAATATTTTTATAGCAAAAATAGTAATTAATTCTGACCTAGTTTTGACTTGATCCGACAGTCAACGCATCGAATCGCAAATACACGAATGTTCGTTCGAGAATGCTTCGATATTCATAGAAAACGTAAAATTGCGTCTTCTGCCAAATGCGAGTTGGCAGTGTACGTTGATTAATCGTCTTCTCAACTGAATTGTGCGACAATAAGAACAGATCTCGTAAGCATCGTAATTGATAGAAAAGAGAGGACGAAAGATACAAAAATAAAAAAAAGTGATGTCCATCGAAAAACTGTTGTCAATCGAGAGAAATCTGCATACTATAGTAAAGGTTACAAGTATTGGTATTCCAAGGACACTGTTCAGTGACATTCTTAATCAACCATTACATATTGTGCATATCCTTAAAACCCTTATTTTGATCTTACATTCTACGTGGCAAGATTTTTGTGCATTTAATATCTACTTTTAATTTTAAACGCATCTTTTCTAAAATAATATTTGTTCAAATTCACTGTGATATTTTGGAGAGAAGCTTTTAAATTAGACATTTCTTTATAAATATTTCTTATACGCGTAATTCTTGTTTAATTTAATATTAATCGAATATTCCTAAATTTTTCATGACGAGTCACGAATAAAAAATTGCTAAAATGATAAAAGTTTGATTTATATTCTTCCAAAATATTTCTCCCAATACTTAATCTCAATTGTACATCAAATTAGTAGATTAAAATATAATAGTAATCAAAAGGTTATATAATATGTTTTAAATAAAAACATAAAACTTCCAATTGCTATATAAAATGTGAAAAAGCAAAGAATACAATGACTGAATGAAAATCTTAGAAAAGAATTGCCTTTTCTATCGCTTAATTGTTTTCTCCTGACCTAACTTCTTCTATATCATAACGATACACTTAAATTTAGTAGATTTTTCCCTTCAATGACCTTGATTCATTAATACTCGTAACCTTTACTACAATCATCGTAAAATTTCTTATTTGAAACGCAGAACCCGAAGGAAGACACTGTAAAAGATGGAACACTCAATAGAAGGCAGATTTCGTTAAAAATCTTCAGATCTGCATCTCCGGCTCGGAGTCGTCGTGAAACCAGTTCGAGCTCCTTTGACTCTCGGTCACATGCACGCTGTTCAGCTCCCTCTCGATGTATCGACTCGATCTAGTAGTCGACGATCCCTGCCTGCGATCGTCGAACGACGCCAAAACTTCCAAACGGTCGTTTCTCCTTACCACTCTCGGAGTAGTTTCCACGGAGCTGGTCCCTTCTTCTTCCGCGGCCCAAGGCGGAAGATCCAGCATGCCCGACGGAATTCCCCAGTGTTCGGTGAATTCCGAACCACTTCTGGCTAAACTGGGCTGACTTAAAGACCTCACCAGCGAATCAGCTCCTTCGAAGGAGCTTAAGCTCGTCAAGTCGTCTCTGTCCACTCTGGCGAAATCTCTCACTGTCATTTCGGACATGGACCTAACGTCCACCTCACTAGCGCCACCTGTACCTCTGTGACTCGAACCCAGTCTGCGTAGACGGTTCGACTGGCCCATAGCCGTAGCCGACTGCGACATCTGTAGTCGGTGGCTTTGAGTACGAGCAGAGCTACCTCCGTCGCTTTCGTATTCGTACAAAGTAGGCAAGGACGATCTTCTGGATCTGGTATCCCACTCCGAAGACTTGGACCTCTTGTACCGTTGTCCATGATTCTTTCCGTGTGTAGACGAGGAAGTGGAACCCGCCTGTGTCAAAGGAGGACCTAGGATGCGGATGATTACATCCCATTTCGCTGGTGGGAACAGGTTCGTGTATCTAGCGTCCTTTCGTATCAACTCGTAATCTTCTCTTACGACAGCTTCCGTTAGTAGAGTCCTCAAGGTACTATCCGTAGTAATTATCTCGCGCCATTTTGTACGTTCTTCGTCTGTCAATTCGGAAGCGTAACGTGGATCTAAGACGCGAGATAGTCTGCTGAACAAACGATGGGTTACTGGAGGTGGTCTGCATGGAATTTCGGCTCTAGCCGTATATGTGGGCTCGATATTGATGTCCGGTTCCTCGTCAATTGGTCCATCAGCGTGATGTCCTGTTGGTTCGTTAGTGATGGTCAGATTGGAGTTGGAACTAACGTCAGAGAAGTTCTCCCATTCAGGTGGAGGCGGTGGAAGATTCTCCTTGGGATAGTTCCTGATGGTCACGTCCCACTTGGGATCCGGTGGTGGCGGCTTGGTTCTATACTCCGTCACCTGACGACGATGACGTTCAACGTCTTCGATGGTCTTCTTCTCCGTCACTGTCTTTAAAAACACATCGTCTACTTCGTGCGTAGTTATCTCTGGACGTCTAGGTGCGACAACCTGGGGTTCTACTAGAGGTTCCGTTACTTCCTCCCGGAACAAGCGATGTTCACGATGCTGAACTGCTGTATGAGTAGTGGTCACCGTGGGGACAATTGGTGGGGGTGGAGGAGGAGTTGGGGCTAAGATGCTGGCCACTCTGTACTTAGCGTGCGTGTGATCGGTCACTTCCGTCAAGGAACGCGTTTCCGTTAACTCCGTGTTCAAGGAGGTCAAAGACCTAGGTCTACGAATCTCATGGTGTTGCAGGGGTGGCTGTTCGACAGGAGAAGGTGACGGAATTCGTTCTTGAAGCATACTAGTACTGGTCGTGGTCTCCCTTTCCGCTTGTTTTCTCAAGATTCGCGAGTAAACTGGTGGCGTTTGCTGTCTGGAGATGGTGGAAGTAGAGGAGGTACCTCCTGGAGGTCCATGGAGCTCAGGAACGTAGGAGAACGTAGTCATCCTGGCTGGTGGGCTCTCTAGGCTACGCGTAAGACTGCATTCTTCTTTTTCTAGGATCGTGGTGAGATTTCGTTCCAGAGCAACGCTTGCAATGTCGGATTCAGATGGCAGTGGGCTAGGAGGAGGAGGTGGTGCCTTCTTCACTCGCATCTGGACGTCGAATTTAGGTTCGATCGGCATGGCCACCATATGACGTGGGACTGCGGTTCTCGAGGTATTAGCTGCTGTCATTGAGGACGTTTCCACTTCCGCAGCGACCGTTTCGGAGTAGAGGGAGCTACTAGTCCGCATTTCTTGGCGTTGGTGTGTTTCATGGTGAACGAAAACTTTGTTGTCATAGGAACCAGCTGAAGAGACTGGTAGCGAAGGTTCTTCGTCCACCTGTGTACAGTAAAGTAGGATATTATTTAATTGCGTGATAAAAATTAAAGTCAACAACTTTTTTAATACTACAATAATTATGTTAGGTCAAATATATTTCTTATTTATCAAGAATTATTCATTATTAGTGATTTATTATTATTAATATTATTAAACGAAGTATTTTATTATAGTATATTTATTAATTTATTTTATTTTAAAATATATCCTTTTCTCGTTGCTATATTCCATTTTGATTTTACGTATGCGTATCATACATTTTAATAACACTTTTTTCATTAATTTTGAAGACATGTGTATATTCGAGACATTTGATTGTCACAAATTTTGTTACAATTTCTACAATTTCCTACAAATCATATTCATAAGCAGGTTTAGTCTAATTTCAGAAATTATTTCTGACAATTATATAATGGCGATATTTCCTTTTTATAAAAATTTGCTGTTGCAAACAAGTAACTAGCAATAGATAGCTATGTCTACGATGCGAAGATGGTAGTTTTCTTTTTATCTTTTCATATTATTATATAGTCCATGTGCTTTATTTCCGGTACAACTATGCATTCAAAAATATTATTTTATTTTTTAATTTATCCAACATAAAATGAAATGCAAAGAGATATTCGATCAAGAGACATTCTTATGTGTACAGTACTTTCATACAAATCCATTTTTATGCTAACGGGTAGCAACACTCGAATTCCAAGCTTCTATGTAATCATAGTAATAAATCACGGATTTCTTTGATCAATTTAGGTGTATCGCCGCTCGCAATATTTACTGCGCATTTTTAATATCTCATCGAAGGTAATATGTAAAAAAAAGAAATGCAGAAATAATGTCTGTTTCTGTCAATTCTCTTTCTTCTTCGTCCAATCTTAAATATTTGTTACGTACAAGCATCTTATAAACTCCACTCGCTTAAATATTTTTGTTACTTCAAAAAATACGCGAAAATGTTATTTTCAAAAGTTGTAACATTTATGAACGTGGTTTTTAATACTTTTATTACCTTTATACTCTAAATTTATACCTATTTTGCATTATTACGTTTGTATGAATTGTATAGTACTGTTACTACATTATTATTAATATATTTATACTTGGAATATCTCAATTTATCGAATTCAAACATAAAATATTGTATACTTCGTATAAAAAAATAAAATTGATCTTCAAACCTTTGCCACATGTCCACTTATAAAAATATTCAAGATACCATATAATTTATTTTCCTAAATTCTGCAATTTTTGTAAATAATATTTTCGTATATTTTTTTAAGTAATGAAGACATTCAGGTGGACAAAGTTCTGAAGTACACTGTATAATTAAGTTGTAACTGTATATAATATGTAACAAAAACAATGTATACAAAATCTGTCCATTGATATTAATTATAACTTTAATTAGCAGGTAGGTACCATTTTTATTTGATTTATATGTTGACATATTTTATGAACTTTTCACTTAATTTTCAATATATAATGAAAGAATATCTAATTATTTACATCAAAATTTATTTATTTCTTTCAACACAAGTAATGTATTGTCAAGAAATCAAATCTCACGTGCTTGAATGTGTAAATGGACCATTGCAATAAGAAAATTTATTATTCACTTACTATTTATTATTAATCTAAGTAGAAAATTATTTACGGTAGCATCTTCTAATAGCGAGTTCAATTTGTAGAGTCATCTTTCTATCTAACAATATTGACAAATGTATGTCAAGTATACCATGTGTCCATCTGTGTCAGTCAACGGTATTCATAATATTCAATAGTTGCTATACTCGTAAAAGAATAAATTTTAATATGCTAATTACAACAGAAGGCCAATTACAAGTAGAGGATATGAAATATTTTAAAACGCTACATAGGTTTTTGATATTTTAGCAAATTTTAAATCAAATGTATTTAATTAAAATTTGGCTGATTAGAGTTATGAAAAATAATTCTTATATCCTTTATTATCCCAATTTGCTGTAATTTATTCTTTTCAGCCCCTCCTACTGAAATGTTGAGTTTATCATTTAAATGTATTAGTTTTGAGAAGTACCATACACTTCAAAATTATCAATACAACTAAACATATTTCAATGTACAGTATATAATATAATTACATATTTATATCTCACCAATTTGTAGTCCATTTCAAGCGATTACTATTGTTTCACAACGCGAATCTTAAAATTCTTATTAATGAGAATGTGTTTTATTCTGAGCAAAGACTGGTTATCAATCAAGATTGGCAAGATTTGAAAATATTTTGATTTCTACATATGACAAATTTCTATGATATGACCATTTTTACGATTTTGTAAGATTAAGAACTTTGTGGCAACGTATTTGAATTTCTATTCCTGTTATCTATTTTTAATTTTGTAACAAAATTTATATCAATTAAAAGCTTAGTTAGACCACACATATTTTCTTTGATGAGGATTTTGAAATTTATATTATAAAAGGATAAAAATAATTTAAAGCGCAATATTAATAATTTAAAGGAAGTCTATGGATACATGTATGATTTACTATATCTAAGAATAAGTATGTGCATTTTATTATGTATGTACTATATATTATGTCGTTATTTTATCTATTAACATTATGTGCAAATATTTACTGTTATTCGTTCAAATACTAGAAATATAACATTATCATAACAAACTTTTGCAAAAAATATATTTGTTTCTAATATAAATATGTAAAAGGTAGTAAGAATCATTAAGTATGTTCACCACGTATGAAATAAATATTGCTGTTTTCTGGTGTGCAGTTGCTTGAGCAATAAAATTCTAAACCTCTGTGTTAACCACTGCTCTATAAAGTTAAAAATAAATTGCAGTACGAGGGGTGAATTCGATCCACCTCATCTATAATACTCAGCCTTCTCTCCACTATCGATATCCTCTACTTTCAAAAGGGGGCGTACATATATAGACATTTAAAAAAATCGATTCCTTCTTTTAAAAATATTTCTTATACTTACAATTAGTGTATCAAGAATGTCATACCAAAATTTAAGTTCAAATATTAGAAATATTTCAGATGTACTTAATTTTACCATGGATTATCATGCATATTACCATGCATGGACTACTTAGAATTTAGAAAATTGTATTAAAAATGGCATACCTCAAAAAGTGAATATAGTGTTATTTCACACTACTTTGTATTCCAGCAATATGTTTAATGAACCTAGAATTAATAATTCATGACAAGATAAGAACGTTTCCTCAAATTTTTGAAAGCATTTCCAATAATGGTCCATTATTACTTGATTATTCCAAAATGATTCAATCAATTCATTTCGAATTTTAGGTGATTATATATCGCGATATTAAACAGTTTCTGACATAGTGAATTTTTCATTTGATTTACAGTCTTTTTCTTATTGTATAAAATTTATACAATTCTTAAAACATAAATGGTGATTTTTATTCAAAAACTTGTCGTTTTTTTAAAAATAAACGTCATAGAAATGGTCTGCGTCAAAATTTATTGCATTTGTTAGTATACTTCAGGAAACTAATTTATTTTTTGCGATCAAATAAATAAATAAATATTGTTAACATAGGAGGAAGCATCGCAAATTACTGCAGTAAATTATATATTTGCTACTAGCTTCTATGTCATGAATACATGACAAATACTTTCGAGTAAAAACATTAATTATTATAGCTAAAGATACGTTTAAATTGATAAAAAGGACCCACGTACAAAGATATTAACCCTCTGCACTCGACGACTTTTTCGTTACAGAAAAATAGTAATTCGAAAACTTTCTGTCATAGAGTCGACGATATTTTTAAAATGGTAAATGAGAAATCATATGCAAATTAAAACATAGAATTATTTTTCTTCGACATTCCACACATTATTAGGTAATTTTAGAATCTTTAGAATCTTATTAAATGGTGACTGAGAGTCACCTCTCGAGTGCAAAGAGTTAACCTTTTTTTTTCCAAAATTAATATTTGGGTTCCGCCAATTTTTAAAGAAGAATTTAATAATAACTTTATACGTTTTCATTCGTGTGACGCTTAACTTGATACGCCATAAAAACAGGATTAAATCGTTAAGTAGATGCATTCCTTGCATATGAAATATGTACCTTAGCTTATTACATCAATTTATCTATTTTTGAGAATATATAAAGAAATAAAAATTTAGGAATCTGAAGTCCAATTTCCACTCACATAGATAGATTCAACATTCATAGACTCTAGATTTAACGAAATTGGATTCTCTTTGAAAATAATTTAAAGGTCTATTAGACATTTACGTCGTATCCTATGTATAGTCTATTTGAGATTCAAATTGTCATATAAACTTCTTTTTATATTAGAGTTTCGACATAATGTAATTATAATATTAAACGTAAACGATTATTGTATACTATATAATCCTTTAACTTCAATGTTACATAATTGCTATTTAAAAATATTTACAATAGAGAAAAGTATTTACGAAATGTTCATTATTATTTTACCTGACACCGCATGTGACAATTCCAAAAGGTTTTACTTTCTTCGTTAACAGGGTTGCAAAATACATAATTCACGTATGTACCAGAAAAAATTAAATTAAAAGAATGCTTCGTTCTCAAAAATTATAAATTTTACCCATTACTACTAGACGGAATTAATGTTCAGAATTTTAAAAATATGTCACATGTAGCATTCGTCCTTACAACGATAAAATAAAAGGGGTATTGCTATTACCCAACAATGAAATCAGTATAGACACATAAACGGTCTAACTGTACATCCTCTCTCAATGAACTTACCCTGATACCTCAACGTGAAACTGCATAGAAAACAACGAAATCGATGAATGCAAGCATTGGAAAGGAAATTCCAATGCCAGCTATGTCAATCTTCAATCTCATGTAACTTACCTCTGAGCTTTCACTCGGATAATCGCTGGGCAAGGAATGGTCGATCAAGTTCGCGTCGCTGCCGGTGGTGGACGGTGGTACGTGGAGCAGAGCCCGGGGTATCTTCAGACCCTCGAATACGGTGATATTACTCAGGGAGGACGTGGAGAGTTTTGTTATCTCCGAGCCTGAGCCACTTCCGAATGGATGCCGGTGGATCACGCGAACGTTCCTGCGTTTCAGGCACATGTACGAGCAGCCGAGGCCGAGTAGCAGCAGCGAGAGGAAAAGGATCGCACAGATGATGAGCAGTATCTGGAATCCTTTCAGCGGCGGTTCCGGCAGTGGCGCTGGTGCTGGCGTGGCCAGACTGTCAACAATTTCAGAAGGTATTATTTTTTATTATTGCAGGCTAAATTTCTTCTGTGTAATATTAAGAGAAGAAAGTGTGGATTTGATTTTATTAGTGTGAATGCGAGTGTGTGAGGTCGAGTGATGGCACGAATGTAGATATGTAGGATTGGAATAAGTACGGCCCTGAAAGAATGTGAAGTGTGTTTGGGCTTAGAATGAAAGTGACCGTGTGCAAGAGGATTGGCTGCAAAGAATGTTTATAATAGAGTCGAGTGAAAGTTTAGGGATGCATCCAGAGTGATTGAAGTACCTGGCCCACGGAGGTTACGTCAGAAAGGGGCATGATTGAAAGGAAAGCCTGGGTATGGAAAAGGATAGAATGAATGCTTTAATTAAGGGTGCATGGGCGCCGGCAGCTTCAGTCTACAGTCTTCAGTCCAGTCTAAGGTCTCTAGTCTTTAACAGTCTTTAAGAGTTCTTGAGCTAGTGTCTAAGAGTATGTCGGTAAGAAGTCAAAGTCGAACGTGCCTATAGCGAATCCCTCTTGTTTCATAGCCGTCAATCTACGTATAAGCTTGTTTTATTCTATCAAGTAGTAAAACAGCGCTACTATAGCCAATTCACCCAAACTGATCCTACAGATATGTATGATTTTTGGAAGTGCGAGTGGAAGATTTAGAATACGCGGTATTGTGCAATTGTTATAGGCCAGAGCCAATATGTTGCGAGGAAAGTGAGTTTGTTACGAAAAGCGTAAAAGTGAACAGTGACGAGATAATAATATTAAGAGAAATTTCACCACACGTACCTAATCGTTGTAATCTTTTTGTAACGTGTGTATATTATAATTTGTAATAAATATATAATTGTTAAACAGCAAACTCACAGAAAGGTGCGTATGAATATTGTATAATAATATCGTTATTAATGTAATAATTGTATTAGATGTTAATAATAATACTAACGGAGTACTAATTATGGGATTGCAACTTTGAGGTGCACGTTAAGATACTAATACTCGATATTTGGTATGCATGTTTATTTTGCTAGTATTTATGGACTATATCTCAAAGCATCAGAGTTTAAATGCAAAATTGTAGCAAAAGTTGTGTAACGTGTATATGATGTGTTAAGAGTAGAAAAATGGTTAATATAGAATGTAAATTTAATTATATTAATTGTATTTGCGTGATAAACTGTATTAATACGATTAGTAATAGTAAGAAAGTATTAATGATTAGGTTTACGTTGGCTAGGGAAGTAGGTACAATAATATTGTGATATTCTAATTTTCTAATACTATAACTATAAGATCTTATGATAATTTAATACTTTATGGTAAAATTATTACAAATTAAATGGTATAAGTTTTCAACAGCAATTTCAACACCGACATTTGCACAGGAATGATGAAAATGATTTTTTTTAAATTCTTGATAAGTAAGTGGATAGAACTTATAGAATACTTAAAATAAGAGAATATGTAAGATAGATCATAAATTTGAAAAAAATATGATTGACAATAACATTGCCACTACTATGATAATTTTATTATTTGTGATTAATATCAATAAAGAAGTATTAATCACGTTATTGTAATTTTAAGATCTACGTAGGGGATAGAATGTAAATACAGGGTGTCCCAAAAAAACGTATACACACTTTAATACCATATTCTTTCTAATTTATTTTTGCTTTTCTAGGTACAACCCATTTAAAATAAAGGCTGATCTTAGACTAGACTTTGAAAAACGTAAATATATTTTTAAGTGCTATCATAAGTGTGAAAACATACTGGAAGTGCAAAGACGGTTTAATTAAACAGTAAAATACATACTGTTTTTATAATCACGCAAAGTGTGTATACATTTTTTGAGACACCTTGTATACTTATTATATGTATTAAATAAAAGTAAATATGTATGAATATACGTATTGTGATCTTGTAACGTTTAATTTTATAATTTTATTCTTTGTCAAAAAACTATAGCAATTTAAATGATCTAAATTATATTTAATGCATTGAACGTCATATCAATTTACTGGAGACTGTCGATAGAAAATTTTAACACGTTACTCGCTATCATCCAAATCATTCTCTGATGACGAAAGTATAACAATTCAACGTTTTTAGAAGATATAATTTTGTATCTCTCTTATGCAGTCATTACGCTACAGTTATAAATAAAACGAAAAGCTTTTTCTTATTATAACGAGAAACAAATCAAGTATAATACTTGGAACAATAAAACATACTTCTAATGAAAAAGAGAAGAATCCGCGTAATAGTATAGAAGCCATACCTAGGAAAGGTGCTGCAAATATTTTGGAGATAATTCGAATGACACACTATATTCATTACTTCGTGACGTGAAAATATTTGACAATATGTAAATATTTATATATTCAACAAATTATATAATAATTTATAAATATTTATAATTCAAATATAAATATCTTATATATTTAATATAAATATTCTATGTGTGTAAATTGCTTCCACACAGAAACAAAATATATTTATATTGTTATTTTGAGCATAATATAACTGTTTTTGCAGAGCTAATATAAGATCAGTTCATCATAGTTTATTTTTTCAATAGTGACATCTCAAGGCGTAAATAAAAGGATGAAAAAAGTAGACTTGGTGTTCAATGCGTTAAATATTGTGTTGTTATTTTCTAATACTACAGTTATAAAATTTTATAATAAGTTAATAGAATTAAGTACTCGTGGATATATACTTCGTTATATCATATAATGTATATAATTATAGTAGTAGTAATTAGGTACAGGTAAAGAAGGTAGGGTAATTTTGCAATTTCATAAAATTGTAATTTAACATTTTGTAATACGATTATTACAATTTAAACAGTCTCGTAACGTTATAATTTAGTAACCATAATTCACGCTGTTGATCACTAGAACTTAAATTATAAGAGTTATAAACTTTTATACGTTCTAATTACATATTTGAATTATTTAATACAGTAGGTGGAAGATTGTCAAGAATGGATATTGTAAAATTATTTGCAAATTTTTATAATTAACGCCACATTAATGTTATTAATTTTTAATGATTGTTACTAATTATATAAATTTATCAAATATAATTTCGAAGGTTATTAAAATTACAAGTTAAAGACGTAATGATGAATTGAGGAAATGCAAAAAAATGGAGAAAGTTTCATTGGAGAAAGTTGTATTTCCAGTTTTGATTTGTGCATCATTAAACCTTTCACTTTTATAAGATGATTTATATAAATTCCCGAAGATGACCTAGTTATATAAGAGGAAATTGCATGGATTTATGTTTTTATGTAATGAAATATATGGAATATATTATAACTCCATATCCTAAATAAATAAAGCATACGTGAAAATTTTATGTTGTTCTGATGATTTACATTATATTATAAAAGTAAAGTTCTATTCTCAGCAACTAATCATTAATTAATATAATATTAGAATATTAATCAATTATTCTAAGCAATTAATCTTTAAATAATGTAAAACAAATATACGTTACATGAAATAACTTAAATGTATAACTATAATACGTGGATCTACTAAAATATTTAATATTTTAACAATCGTCAAATTTTTACTATTTTTTTACTAAATGTGCTATTGAATTCACATTATTTAAATAATCTTTTAGGATCATTTCGCTTAATTCCCAAAAAATATTGGAATCTTTGCACCAATCGACTGAAAAGCAATAAAAATGGAAAAAGTATGATTCGATTATTGCGAAAAATCAACATATATCGACATTCTTAATGATACTACACTTCTAACATTTCTAAGAATTGAATACGAATAAGGTAAAACTGAGTCATATTTTATTGACTTAAGAGAATGGTAGGATTTATTTTTGAACAATATGTTTATCCAACACAGTTACTGAGTTTGTAACTGATTGTGAGTCAATTGAGTTAATGTTTCATTCGTAAAATATTACTTGCTTGAAAAGATTTAATACAGTGTAACTACATTTGCACGAATCAGTTCCTGTAATAGTTGTTTACTGATTCTCATTGTCATCTATCTATCTTCCGTTCAAATAACACGAGTCCAAGTTCGTGTCGTTATTTGTAGCGTAAATTTGAATTCTACACGAAACCCTACAGTGGAATTTAATTTGCCCTAATTCATTGGGAAATTAACAATTCATATAATAAAAGTTCATCGAGTTTCCCAGCTATCTATGATCTTCCGTTTAAGTAATAAGAGTTCACATTCAGATATTGTTAATGTCGTTATAAACGCATCGTTACTTGTAACAAAAAGCAGGCTTTAATGAGAATTTTTTAATAGAATTCCATTTATTTGAATTAGGTGAGAGACAAGCAGTGCATATAACTGAAACTCGTGTAATAGGAGTTAACATGGATTCAGTTAATTAAGTATTAATTAAAATTTCGTTGGAATAATTGGAGTACAAAGAAATGGAGATATGTTACACTCATTCATAAGTCTTTATATCCTTTTTTGAGGTAACTAGCCAGCGGTTATAAGCTTCGTTGCTCAAGCTCTGCGTGGTCATACACGCTAAATGTTTGGCACCAAATCTAGGTTAACGATAGCTTCAATTTAACAGTTGCTTATGCGGTCAGCACAACTGGCAGCTATCGTTGCTAGTGCTAGATATAATTTGCAAAGTAGTGTATATAGCGAATAAAAAATATTTGCAAACGCTTTATTTTGATATTATAAATGCAATTAATTTAAGTCTAGCCAAAAAATTTGGAAATTGTGTGACTCAAAATGATTTATATTTTCGATTAATTAGAACTGATTTGGGCCTCTAAAATTACTTCTGCAGAATAGTATTGGAGACTTATGTATTTTTTAGTCAGGTATAGCAAGAGTCTAATTACTTAACATGTTGAGCTATCAATTATTCTTGGATCCTTTGTTTATTGGGTTCGTTTTTATCAACGATATTGCTAGCAGTTACTTTAAACGTATATTATATATATACATACATACACATAAACGTTACAAACCATA